TTCTTGGCAAAGATACTGGAGTGGAATTGCCGGTTCCTACTCCAGGTGGATTGCGTTTAGTCGGAACTCTCCACTATGACCTGTCCGTCTTGGGTGGCCCTGCACGGCATAGCCCATAGCTTCTCTGAGTTGCTCAAGCCCCTTCGCCACGACAAGGCAGCAATCCATGAAGGATTGCTGCCTTCACTGCAATTAGTACAAGATATTAAAACCAGTCCTTTGAAAGAGAGTATTAAATTGGATGAGTCAACTGATATTGATAGTTGCAGTAGTATTTGTGAAAAACATAAAGGAAAAGGAAATATTGGGAGAATTTTTATTTTGTGAGCAACTGGAGCTGATGACAAAATGAACTGATGTTTTTAATCTCATTAAAGACTTTTCAAAAAAACATTAAATACCAATGGATGTAATAGGTCCAATTTGCACTGGTGGTGCAAACATTTTTGCATATATGAAGAAAGAAGTATCATACATTATAAAAACACCACCATGCACTTCCATTGAAAACTTTGCCAGACAAGTTAAAACAACTCTTAGCTACTGCAGTAAATATAGCACATTATATCTGAGAACTGGCCTTTAATCATCGTATTTTTCATGCTTTATTAGAAGAAATCGGTGCTGGCCATACTGTGCTTCTTTATCATACTGACATAAGGCGGCTCTCCAAGGTATGCCAAGCAGGGTTTCTGAAATGTGTGAGGAAATTATTGTTTCTTACTAATCAAAATCATAATTTAGTGAAAGACTTTGAAAGAAGAGATGCAGTACTTCAACTGGCCTACTTAGCAGATGCATTCACTCACCTGAATGAATTAAATATAACAATGCAACGATATGGTAAGACCATAATAATAGCTACTGTAAAATTACCTGCTTTAATCGAAAAAGTTTAGGTATGTTAAGTTGAAAATGGTAATTTCGCAAACTTTCCCTGGCATAATTAAACCGTTCTGGAAAACGAGAAAATCACAATTTTACCTGAACTTGCAATACATTTGCAACAACTGAGTGCATATTTCCGTGGATATTTTTCCACAAGAGGTATTGGCAAAGAGCAGAGATGGATACTCGATCCACTTTTTTATCTTAATTCTATAGACAACAATAATTTAATAAAAAGCTAGCTTATTGAAGTACAGGCCAATGCACATATTCAAATTGAATTTGAAAAACTGGACTTGGAACAATTCTGGTGTGCTCAGTTAGAACTATTTCCATAACTGGCGAAGGCAGCATTGAAGACACTTTTACTATTTGCCACCACCTATCTGTCTTGCTGTGGGTTAAACTGCAAAAAGGTGGCTGTGGCAAATGTCCACGTAACTCCTGTCAATCACATCAGAACCTCATTTGCATGAGCCAATGGAAGGACAGGATGGGAGGAGGCAGAGTCTTGGGAGTTAGTCAGAGGAGTCAGTTAGTGAGGGAGAATCAGTTAGAGAGAGGGAAAGAAATGAGATAAAGAGATTTGCAGAAAGAGCTAGATAGTCAAAGTTAGAAGTGAGAGTTGTAACAAGTACCGTTGATTTGCAGAAAGAGCTAGATAGTCAAAGTAAGAAGTGAGAGTTGTAACAAGTACCGTGGAGCCCCGCTTTACGATTACCTCATTAAACGACAAAATCGCTTCACGTTTTTTACGACAAAATCGCTTCACGACGATGTTTTTTTAATCACTATTGCGATCGCAAAACGATGTTTCAAAGGGCGATTTTCGTGTGACAATGATTGGTTCCCTGCTTCGGGAACCGATTCTTCGCATTACAACGATCTAAAAACAGCTGATCGGCGGGTTTCAAAATGGCCGCCCACTGTGCAAAATGGCTCCCTGCTGGTTTTAGGATGAATTTTTTGCTTAACAGGGATCAGAAAATGGCCACCCTATGGACATTAACAGGGATCAGAAAATGGCCACCCTATAGACGATCTTTGCTAGACGCTGACGTATTTCACCCATTGGAACGCATTGAACTGGATTTCAATGCGTTTCAATGGGTTTTTTTCCTCGCCTGACGACAATTTCGCTCTACAGCGATTTAGCTGGAATGGATTATGCTTGTCAAACGAGGCACCACTGTAAATACCTAAGCTGGTTAAATTGCAAATAAGTAAACAAAAGATAACATTTCAAGGATTGTGATTTTGAATAAATAAATAAAGAACTTCTGTAATTTGATAAAAACTTTCAATTGTTGGCAGCCAGTGTTTGAGTAAAATAATTTACTTTGTGGATAAAAGAAATCCACTGGTGGCAGCGAAAGAATGTCACCACCAACCTGTGGTTGTGGGAAATGACATCACACATGGGGTGGACGTCACAGTGGCACTGCAGGTTAAACCGCAAAAGCCTCTGGGTTGCAAGATCAACAGTTTGAATCCACGCGATGGAGTGAGCTCCCATCGATTGTCCTAGCTCCTGCCAACCTAGCAGTTCGAAAGCATGTATTATTTATTTATTTATTCCCACCTTTCTCCTTGAAAAGGGCCCAGGGCAGCTTATTTCAGGCAGCTTATAAGCCTCGGTTTTATTATACAAATTTTTGAGTAATACTTGACAATCAACAATGTTGTGTTAAATGTAGGATTCGTACTGTACCATTTTTCCTAGCTCTAAAGCATCCTGTTATAGTGGGACTCACAGAAGGGGAAAATCTTAAGAAAAGTATCATACTGTGCCTTATGGCCCTGGAAATCAACCTGCTGTTACAGGGGTGTTGTATGTACCCTATAAAAAACTCTGGTCAGCAGCCTGGTTACAGCATTTTGAACTAGCTGGTTTCCAGAGCATCTTCAAAACCAGCCCCATATAGAGCAACTAGCAGAAATACAAGTGGAATGGAACAAAGGCATGTGTCACCATGGTCAATCCATGGAACAGGCACAGGCGGTGCATCAGTTTTAACTGAGCAAGCGCACATCTGGGCACCCTTGAGCTGCAATGGACTGATCTAGCAAGAACGTCAACCGAATTCAAGGCCAACATCTGAAACTCTGAGGTCAGAACTGAACGGGTAGTCTCCCAATGCACTTGCCCACGGGCATTTATGTCACAATTACTATTTTAATTATTAACACCGAGCCTGCAGCAGCTACAGAGCGGGCAAATTCTTAACTATCACGGCTTTTGTTAAAAAAATTGTTTGCTGTTTGTTTCTGAAGTGCTTTACTATTCTGAAAAGCCCGCCTCGATGCACAAAATAAAGCAACAAAACAAACCCACAATAGACCCATTTTCAAAAGAGAGCTAATTAAAAACAACAACAACAACAACGTTCGAGGGGACAGACAACTGAGCGGTCTCCAGACAGCCCGAAACGGTCCACGGCGCTCTTCGGTAAAAATCCGCTTAGAGCGCGCGCGCGAGACTCTCTCGACTGGAGCCCAGAATTCCAATCGGACGCCGCCGCCGCCGCGCGCTTGTGCGCCTCTGACTTTGGAAGGAATTGGGCCCCGTCGCCGCCCGTAGCTTCCTTAGCAACGGAAAGGGAACTGCGCGGTGCCCAAGCGCTCGTGCCGGCCACTCAGGGGCCTTCCAAGCCGAAGGAATCGGTAAGTGAGGAGAGAGAGAGTGTGTGTGTGTGGGGGGGGGGAGGTCATGCCCGCGTCGCGGCGAAGGAGGGCCCTGGTCCTGCCCGCCCTTTTAGCCTTGCCTCCTAGCAACCCTTCCTGCGCTGGCGTCGCCTGTGCCTGAAGCATCTCTTGGTCGCAGCCTCGTCGGGCCTCCTGTGTTGTTTCTGGCTCCGCGCAAGGGCCGGTGGTCCCAGCCCGTTGATCCCTCTGGCGCTTGCCGGAGGCCATGTGAGAACAGACCGCTCTCTGACCATATCTGCCCAGGGCCTGCTGCCTCAGAGCTGAATAATCGCAGCCTCGACTGCTTCCAACGGCGGCACCCATGGCAAAGAAGGGCGTGACGGCCCTTCAGGAAAGGCAAGGTGTCGTTTCCTGCCTTTAGCACGGGCGGCCCGGCGGTTGCAGCACAACGAACCTCTTAGGCTGCGCCGCTTTTGCTCGGGAGAAGCCTCTTAAGCATCGCATAAACGCAATCCTTCCTCCTCTGGGCCACCAACTGGTATTCAGCGACAAGAATTTCTGCTTGATGCGACCTGTATTGGTTTCCTTAAATATCCCTGGCACTATATCTAGAATTGCTGATAAATCATGATCATATATTAATAGTAATAGTAGTTGACCAGTAGAAATAGATTATTTATATTCTTCCCTTCCAGCATATGCTATCTTTCATGTGTTCTCTGTCACAACCATTCTCTCTGAATAACCCTTTCAGGATTTGTGTTAACAGAGTAAGCAGAGCAAAGAGAAATGAGCTAGCATCAATTTTTCTCTGCTGCAGGTGAACATAAAGTGTCCTAAAGGGGCATGCAGCAAATGAAGAAATACGGAGGCGCAAGTTTGAGGCAGGAAGCAGCAGGTATGTGTCTTTACTTTTTAGTGACAGCTATGCTATTTTCAAGTTTTGTTCCTAATTTAAACATTTCTCATTTCTTTAATGATACTAATCTTTTTTGCTGCTTCTGTCTATGAGCTACTGTTGGATTTTAAAAATTATTATGATTATGGTTTGGTATCTCAGGGGATGTTGCTAAATGGATGTCTTCTGGCCCTTTAATGAAAGAGAAGAATGTGACAGAGAAACAAAAGACATCTACTTCTTCCACACCAGATGCTGTAGTTAAGCCACAACCCAGGCCCAGTGACAGACTTAATCCTAAAACAATTGATCCAGTAAGTAGAACTATAACTTTGCATACTTGGAAAGTGATAGGGCTGATCTTAATCCTGTTTCTTCTTACAAGTTATATATGAAAACAGTGCTGAAAGAAAGGGAGGATCAGCTGAGAAGCGCAAGTCCTGTTGCACCAGGATTTTGTTTAATGATAGCAAGAATAAGATTTAAAGCTGTGCTGGCTGGAGTTTCTGGGAGTTGCAGTTCAAAAACACCTGAGTAACCCAAGGTTAAGAACCACTGATTTAAAGAATGAACTTTGCTGTTTGCTGGCAGAGCAGTATGGCACCTCATGGTTCTTACAAGATTCCTTTGAAGCTTATTTCACAAGTCAGGAAACACAAGCCAGTGCCTCTGTTTTGTTCTCTGCTGCATTAATGTTCTTTAGCTCTAATTATTGGTTCATTCCCTCTCTAGTTTGTTTCTTAACATTCTTAATTTAAGAAGCCAAATGTGAATTCACCTATTTATCTAAGCCAATATACCATGCATGTTAGCTTTATTGTTGGAAGTTCATTTTATTAACAGTTTGGGAAATTAGCGTTCGCATATTACTGCAGCCTTCAGGGTGGTGATTTTTGATCCTCCTTTCTTCCTGCTCTTATAACTTCCTTCCTCTGTTTTGACTTTTGTGGAGAGGCAGCTCCTGTTACCATTCAGAGATAGACTTGGGTTCTATTTTTAGATAGGTGGAGGAGACAGTTGCATGCCTAATTTTCATATGTTTGCCCCCTGTTAGTTAAGGTGGTGTGAAAGAATGACACAGCTCTCTCCGTGGTGGTTTTCAAGATAACATGTGACATATTTGCTTGCTGGGGGTAAATGTGACTTACCTCACATTGTAGTGACGTACACAATAAAATAATGGCTGTTTAGCCAGCTTCTATAATTCTATAATTGCAGTATTGTTGGAGAGTTGTTTTTGCAAATACGCGTAGTACACACTTTGTTACACAGAAACACTTCTTTGCAAAGATTTTTTCAGTATGTGGTAAGATAAGATATTCTACAAGGTAAGGATCCTTGCTTGGTATGTTTTTTCAAGATTATATACATTGTGCTCTTCAGTTCATTCTACATATAAAATATTTTTGTACTGTAATATATCTGAGCAACTTTTTTATAAGAAAATTCTATAAGAAAACTTATCACACTACTTTAAGTATGCCATGTTGTAAGATATGACACAATGGTTATAGTTCATACCACAATAAGTATCTTTGAGTGCTCTTGATTTCAGTGGGAAGGATTTAATGTTGAAGAAGATGATTTCTGAGAGATTAATTTTGCCTGGGATGTGCCCATCTTGTATTAATATTATTCCTGTTTTAAATAACCTACCACAATTTGTGCCTGATTTAATTTGTACCTGAATATAGCATTTTTTTTTACTCATGTGACTTTGTCTTTTTATTCTAGTTCAGTGTTCAGTCGAGATCTCCTTCTGCATTTGCTGCCATTTATTCTAAAGGAGGCATTCCTTGCAGGTAACACTTGGGAGTGAATAGTACACATGTGAGCAGTGTGAATCTATTTAAGCAGGCTTGACCTGGAGATCTATGGAGCCTTGTAGAACTAAATCACCTCTAAACATCATATGACTTTGGTCAGCAAGAATGTAAGTGTCAACCAAAGGCCAAAGATAGAGGGTACCAGTGGGGCTTCGGTGTGGATTATCACATTGCAGTTGCGATGATAGCCATGACTGTTGACTGTAGCACTGACATTGAGAAGGCAATGAAAAAACAGCACATTGTGCTTTCCAAATAAACTGATAATCACTGGACAGAAATGCAAAAAGGCCCTCAGTAATCAGTAGGCTTTAGATGACCAGAGCACAGATAATGTCTGTTTTCAAACTTAAATTGGAATCTTAGAATATATACAGTATATATGAGGCAGGAAAAATCCACAGTACAGTAAAAGAAATCAAAAGGGGAACATCCAGATCATTGGAATATGTGATTTTGTTAACCAAGATCTGGTTATGGTCAGGTGAATATATTATGTCTTATTGGGGTAGTAATGACTCGCATCATCAAGGAGTTGCATCTTAGTAATGAAATATACAAACTTTGCCTGAAATCCTGATGCCAGCTTTACATCGTGTAAGACTGATGATGTCACCAGGTGCAGTGGCTTTTCGTAAATTAAAATGTTCCAATCCCCCTTTCTCAGATTTCTCTAGGCTCTGACAGGATCCCTTTAGTCTTAGAGAAGCCCTCGGGGGATGGTGGGGAAGAGTCTTTCAATTCCAAATGTTTCCACTGATGGGATTATTTTACAGACAGGAAGGATTTTCTCTTGTTCTGATTTAATTCTTTACGCTGTTAAAAAAGTGTAACAAGAAATCAGTAATACTTTTGATGATGGTGTTGGTAGAAACATGTATGATTTCAAATTTCATGAAACATTTATGCAGCAATTCTTGTTCATGCCCTTAGCAGCTAATGGGCAGTGGCAGGTCTTGCAGTGAAGAGAGATGAATAAAACATGCAAACCAATCAGACTGGGTTAAAATTAGAAATGGGGCTATTCGTATACAAATACTCCCTCACAGGTGGAGATAATGAGGGTCCAGCCCCATGGAGCTGCCCTGAGAGTAGCCGAGGGGCATGAGGACGAGTGTGGCGTATTTAAAGAGGAGCATCCCTGTTGTCACCCTCTTTTGTGTGTTTGAGCGACAGGAGGGAGCTTGTCGCACTTGCCTGTGGCACTGGGCACCACGTGGCTCAAGCAGGGGGCAGCAAGCCAAGGAGCAGGGCACAGGACCAAAACTGACACCGGAGCAGCACCTACTGCCCCCACGGTGATAAAGTGGCTTCGGTTTCCTTACCTCTTGGGGGGTTCAGCTGACTACTTCCTGCTCGGTGCTTGCATTGAGGGGTGTGGTGCGGGGGGGGGGGGGGTCAGCACCGACTTCCCCCACGGTGATAAAGCTGCTTCGGTTTCCTTACCTCTTGGGCGGTTCAGCTAACTACTTCCCGCTCGGTGCTTGCATTGAGGGGAGAGGTGCAGGCGCTGGGTGCTGGAAATCATCACCTTACTGGCCTGGGGGGAACCCTCCTTCCACGAGCCAATAGTGCACGGTGGCGCTGCCTGAGCTGACCCCTCTCCGTGAAGAACCATCTCCCCGTTTGTGCCCGAGACTCCCTGGCCCCAGCTCCTATCGGGTTGATTGGGGGGGAATCCCTCCCCTTTGCATGAATGGCGCCCATGACTCTCCGGTGTGCAGCGGGAGGCCACGTGGCCGGGAAGGATCCTCCCTTGCCGGGTGACTAATTGGGAAAAGCCCTAGTTAAGTTTACAATACGCCCTGGCTTCAGCTACACACAATTTCCCCCCAGCATGATTTCCCTGGCTGGCTGATTGAGGAAATCCCCTTTCTGGACTAAGCAGCGTTCTTGCCTCTGGGATTTCCTTGTTGGATGCTAAGTGGGGAAATCCCAGATGGCCGGGTGTTCGGATTGTCGGGTTTCCCCACTTGCCAGGTGCTCTGCTTTTCTGGTTTCCCCGTCGGCTCAGAGGTGGGGAAATCCTTGCTCCCAGCTACTTTGGAGTCGAGCGGGGCGGACCACATGACCACGTGGGATTTCCTTTGTGCCATCCGGGTGAGTGGGGAATCCCTTCTTGTTACGGAAATAGTGCGGCTTGGAGAATTACCTAGGATGATTCCCCCTCCCCCCTTCTGCTTGGGCAACCTGGGTGGGGATTAACAATAAGAAAGTTTCAGTAACGGGAAAACGAGAAGGGGCTAATAATAAAGGCAGTAGCTGGATGGCAGGCAGAACAAGGAAGGAGGAGCAAGAGTGTGGGGGAAGCAATATCTAAACAGGCATCTAGTTAAAGTAAGCTTTATTTGCGTTTGTGTGCAAGGATGCTGGGTTTCTGTTCCTTTGCATTCCCCATTGGAATGCATTGAAATCTACTTAATGAGTTCCAACGGCAAAAAATCGTCGTCTTGCGAAAATCATCCATAGAAAAGCATCGTCTTGCGAAGCGCAACAGCAATCGCAAAAACTAATCATCTTGCAGATTAATTGTCCCACGAGGCACCACTATATATAAATACCCCCATCTCTTGTTAAAATGGTCACACCATTATTGATGAGCATTTATGTAGGCTTTGGCACAATTGTAGTAGAAACCATAAAATATTTAAGCAGCATTCTGTATCATTACATACTACATAATACTGTTCTTCAGTGGTTTTTGGTAAAAGATTATTTTCTGTGTATTTTAAAGATGTAATTATCTTAACATAGAAGGAATAATGTTTACCTTTTTTGAAAACCCTCTTATAACACAATCTACATTTTGCCTACTGAGGACTAAATTTCACTGAATTCAGCAGATCTTACTTTCAAGTAAATATGTCCAGAATTGCAGCCTTGGTTTCTTATTGAGATGGCTTCGAACTGTCTTCCAAAGGAGAATAGTGTCTTGCGAGTACAAAAGTCGACAGAATTCAGAGGGTATTAAAGGTCTTGAACTCACATTGCTTTAATAGGGACAAAATGGTTTAAAGGTATCTGACATAAAATTTGATACTTTATCACTAATGCTTTATAGTTTTCTCTTTTATCTCAGGTTAGTTCATGGCTCTGTAAAACACAAATTGCATTGGGACTGTAGTCCTGAAACACTTCCGTTTGATCCTCTTCTTATAACTTTGGCAGAGGTAATTTTTAAATTCCTTTACTTTTTTAGAAGATGCTACCTTTTTCATATATGATTTTGTAATGCAGTTTGCATATATATCAGCCTTCCATAATTCAAATCTCCATGCTGTTTTTATTCAAAGTACTGTGGGAAGCTGCAACCAGCTATAAATTTTAACATTGTGACTTACACTGTGTCTCAGTTTTAACAGGCATGTGGGAATATTACATAAATGTTTTGAAGAAATTAGGAAATCAGTGAAACCCATTTTTAACATATGTAATTCAAAAGAAAATAGCCTATAGCAAGCCAGTAATACTCTAGCCCAGTGATGGTGAACCTATGGCATATGTGCCACAGCTGGCACTCAGAACCCTCTCTGTGGGTACACGAGCCATGGGTTGTCATTGAGAAATACTTACCCATCCTCTCATTGCGGATTTTGGCACTCCCCTCTGCTGGTGCAGTGGTCCAGCGGAGGGGTCCAATGGCGGCCATTGGACTGGTATAATCCAATGAAGACAATGGCGGCCATTGGACTGGTATAATCCAGTGAGGAATTGGTGGACTGGGTAAGTATTTCTCTGTTAATATTGCCCTAGGAGGAAAAAAAACCAAGCATTTAAACATTGCAGCATAGGGGCGGTTGTTTTTTCTAAACTAAAAACTCAATATTCAGGTTTAATTGCAGTGTTGGCACTTTGAAATATATAAGTCAGTTTTATGTTGCAGTTTGGACACTCGGGCTCAAAAAGGTTCACCATCACTGCTCTAGCCTGTTACAGTACCCTTCCTTCTTCCTTATCATGTAGCTCTGTGTATATGGAATATATGAATATGCATAATTTTTCTCATATTTTTACTGTCAGCTTTACTCAAGAATTTTCTAATTGTACCTGCTTTCTTTATTGGAAATGTCCATTCAGATCTAAAATGCTCCTGCTTTCTTTATTGGAAATGTCCATTCATAATTCTGTCAGGACTGTATTCAGATCTAAAATGCTATTCAGTGGACCCTCTACTTAAGGAATTAATCCGTATTGGAATGGTGGCTGCAAGTCGAAAAGTCTGTAAGTCGAATCTCCATTGACCTACAATGCACTGAAAACCGATTAATCCCATAACCAGTGGTTTTTATTCTATTTTTTATTCCATTTTGGTTTTTTTCTGGTCTGTAAGTCGATTCTCTGGCTGCAAGTCGAATCTAAATTTTGCAGCCAGAGAAGTCTGTAACTCGAAAAGTCTGTAAGTCGAGCCGTCTGTAAGTCGAGGGTCCACTGTATATCCTGTTGAATATTTACTTTATTTCCACACCCAGTCCCAGATCTATGTAGCTTAAGAAGAGTATGCTAAACATATTACTTGGAAGAAACAGTATGGTAGATTTGTTTGTGGTTTGTGTTGTCAGGTCCTCTTTGTTCTTACTCATATTTGTTTCTATATATACAAGTGTGCTTAAAAACAGAGACTGAATCTCACCAGATGTAAACTTTGAGCCTCAATAGGTGAACATTAATATAAAATTTTTGTAAGCATGTGTTCTTTTTCCCTGTGTTTCCAAAGTGGAGGGAGAAGATGCAATAGGGTGAAAGAGCACCTTTGAACATGCTCATAAAATCAGCTCTGACAAGACAAAAGGATAAAGGGAGTGGGGGACTGCTGATTTTTCAGTGTTCATGCTTTGAATTCCTCTGCTTCCAGGTTTCGTTCGAAACCATAAGTGCTGTTCTTTCAAGGTCACCTTCACACACTGCAGAGTAGAACCCTTGAGAGCTGGCAAATGAAAGAAGCTACTAGCAGCTACTTATGCCCATAATTCCTGAAAACAGTACAACTTAGCTCCTAAACAGAGTTCTCTCAAGGAGATGTTAGCGTTGGGCAAACCAGGCAATGATGTTCCCTTCACTCACAGAATACTATTGCAGTTTTAGCCTAGTAATTGTTCCTGGCTGTGAACTGTTTTAGTCTAAGCATGGAAATACTTCTGTATGTAGAAAGTAGTCAAGAAAACGATGCTTTGATACTTGAATAGTGTTGGTATATAAGGCTGACTTAAGAATTGCATTTTTCATGGAACCACAAGATGGCATAAGTGTGTTTTGAAAATCTGTGATGAAACCCTGTTATAGCTTTTTGTATTTTGAATTGTGTTTCTGAAGACAAAGGTGCAGGGGATTGCTATGTGTGAATGTGATGTTGTACCACTATCACAGGGGCTAAGAGAGACAAGGCATCCATACACGTTTGTGTCCAAGGAGGGTTTTAAAGAACTGCTCTTGGTGGAAGGTGCTGCTCAGAAAGTCATTCCACTGCTGCCTCGACTTATCCCGGTGTTAAAAGCTGCTTTGGTATGTTTCTTCCATTTAGGAATTATACAGAAAGCTTATTGTACCATTTACCAACTTTATTATAATTGTTGATGGTCACAATGAACAATGTGTAGAAAATGCTGCATGAAAACCTTTGTTCAAAAGATCAAAGTGTATTCCAGAGTTGCATCAGTTATCTGTATCTCTTTCTATATCCATCTCCTGCAGGCTTTTATTAATTTAGAATGTAAATTATTCAGGAGTTACTAAATTATATCACTATTACCATAATTTATTGGTTAAAATGCAGCAGAAGTCACAACTAGAATTAGGCTCATTGAATTAGTGGGAGTGAACCAACTCTTCCAGAAATTTGATTAAATCAGTGGGCCTACTAAAGTTGCAACTATTTATTTATTTATTTAAAATATTTTTATCCCGCCTTTCTCCTTAAAAAGGACCCAGGGCAGCTTACATAATTAAAAAGATAATATTTAAAAGCTAAAACAGTAAATATACAAATATTTAAAAAGAATTAAACAAGTCATATATTAAAAACTAAATAAAATCCGTACTAAAACAGCCTGAAGAGAAAGGTCTTTGCCTGTTTGCGGAAGGACAGCAATGACGGGGCCAGCCTAGCTTCCCATGACTGGGAGTTCCAGAGTCTTGGAACAGCAGCAGAGAAGGCTCTGCCTTGTGTCTCCACCAAGCACACCTCTGAGGATGGTGGGACTGAGACAAAGGCCATCCTGATGATCCTAATGTTCAGGCAGGTTCATAGAGAGAGATGTCAAAGCAGTAAGGCATAATATTTCATCTAAAAATCTCATACAGTACAGGTAGCTAGTTACTGAGGGAAAGCTTGCCTCAGTATTGAAGAGACAGCTCTTTGCCTTTTTGTGTCCCCATCAAACACATCTATGAAAGTGGTAGGACTGAGAGAAAGGCCTCTCATGATGAACATAACACCTGAACCATCTCATAGAGGGAGATATGGTCTTTTAGATCAGTGTTCCCCAACCTTTTCCATTCTGCAGACCAGCTGCGCTCGCGCGCATGTGGGAACAAGTGCTGTCTTTTGCACGGGCGGGTGCGCGCCCGCACAAACACCGTGCCACCGCCACCATTTGTGCATGCACATGACTGCATGGGCGCATGTGCAAACAGTGTGCTCTAAGCACCGTGCCACCATTTGTGCATGCACACGACTGCATGGACGCATGCACAAACAGCGTGCTCTTGTGTGGGGGTATGCATGCATGCGCAAACAGGCAACGCAGGGATGAGTGCACACGGGGCAGGCGGGAGGGGAGGTCTCTCTCAGCGGCCCAGTCTGGCCCAGGCCAGGGACCGGGACTGGGCCAGGGACTGGGGATTGGGGATCGGCCCAGTCTGGCCCAGGCCAGGGACTGGGGGTTGGGGATCGCTGTTTTAGATAGCTTGGACCCAAGCTGTTTAGGGCTTTATAGGTTAAAACCAGCAACTTGAATTGTGCCTGGAAATGGATTGACAGCCAGTGGAGCTGCTGTAACAGAGGAGTTATATATTCCCCATAACCAGCTCTAGTTAGCAATTTAGCTGCAGCATTTTGTACCCTTTCGCTTTTCCAGACAGTTTCCAAAGGCAGCCCCACATAGAGCGCATTACAGTAACCGAGCCAAGATGAAACTAGGGCATTTGTCACCATGGCCAGATCAGACCTCTCAAGAAACGGGCATATCTGGCACACTAGTTTTAACTGTGCAAAAGCACCCCTGACCACTGCTGAAACCTGGGCATCCAGGCTCAGAAATTAAACCAGGAGCTGCACACCTGTGTTTTTCAGTAACCCCATCCAGTACAGGCTGCAGCCCTATTCCTTGATCTGCTTTTTGACTAACCAGGGGCACCTTTGTCTTGTCTGGATTAAGTTTCAGTTTATTCGCCCTTATCCAGTCCATTACTGATACCAAACACTGATTTAGAACCGAAACAACTTTCTTGTATTTAGATGGAAAGGAGAGAGAGAGAGACCCAAGACTCTGGACAAATTCTCCCAGTGGTTTCATGTAGATGTTAAATTGCATAGGAGACAAAGCAAAACCCTGAGGGATACCACAGGCGAAAGGCCACCCTCTGAGTTCTCCCCTCCAGCAAGGACTGGAGCTTCCAAGTCCCATATCAGAGAGACGGCACAGAAGGATAGCATAATCGATGCTATCAAAAGCCGCTGAGAGGTCCAGCAGAACCAACAGGGACACACTCTCCTTGTCCAGTTCCTGGCGTACTGGCAAATATCTAAAATACATGGATACTTGTTGACCAATGGAGTTACTTCAATAGCCCCCTTAAAATACTATTATTTTACTGTAATGGTGTCGCTGTAGTCCAGATAAATAGATTTCAAGGTGTTACAGTTTTAGCTGAGGATTACTAAGGATTATACATAATTCAGCACACTGGGACTTATGTAAGGTAAGTATGCAAATGTTCGTGCTGTAAATACTAAAATAATGTTTTATTAAAATGAGAGAAAAATTATATCCAGCATGGATTTTAATTTATTACACTTGTGGCCTCCCTTTTGGTCAAATATCCAGGGACTTTCCTTCCTCTCCAGTTGGTCTTTCCTGTTCCCTACGTGGCTATTCTTCTTTCCACTGTACACTCACAGCAACTTTGGTCAGTGAGTCAGACTGAGAATGTGTGATTGGCCCAAATAGTTTCATGGTTGAGTGAGGGTCTGAACTCATTCTTCTTGATCCTCATCCAACTAAATGCTTCACCAACTTGCATGCTTAAGAATTTTAAAAGGAACCATTTGAGGAGGGGGAGAAGAAGAATTATTGATGAGCTCAAGAGACTTACTCTACAGAGCATGTAGTTTGTAGAGTATTCTCCATTTTTATAGCCAGTTGGTTTGTTTGTTTGTTTCATTTTCAATAGGCCCATTCAGATGGAGAAGTATTTGAAAGGGGACTGAGTGCTTTGGTGCAGCTGAGTGCTGTTATTGGCCCTTCACTTAATGATCATCTGAAGCATCTACTTTCAAGTGTGAGTACAACAGTATTGGGCAGCTGTTACTCATGCTTTAAGGTCAAACTTTGTGTGACTGCAGCTATCATTCCTGATTTCATACTTTCATGAATTTCATACAAATCCTTATATGACATGAATGCAGGCTTTCTGAAGAACCATATGCCCCATTTTAAGCCTGCCTTGGCTTTGAAGTCTCTGAGATACACATTCCTTTCTGCCCTGGCATCTTTCCTAGGACTCAAAAATTCTGTAAATCACCTAGAGATCAAGGAGTAAATCCTTATCTGTGATAAGGCATGATAGTGTTCTGACATTTTTGAACTAGGTGGAGCCAGTGCAGCTTGTATTATACCTCTTCAAATATGGTAATTAATATTTTTGTGTCCTTGCAGATGCTTGACACTTTTGCCATCTCAGGCAGATCACCAAACAGGCTTTTCAAGCTATTGTAGTGGGACTCTACAGCTTGGCTCACAATTTGTGGAATAACTAGAGAGGAGTTACCATCACTCCAGCCCCCCAGAATATGAATCAATGTTATTAAGGCCTTATGTACGGGCTAGTTAACATTTCTGCATATATCTAATATGAAGGAAGTTAATGGCTTCAGAGATGAGGGGCATAAAACTAACTTCTGTATTTTACTTTCCTGAAAGCTTTCAAAGAGACAGATGAGCAAGAAATACAAAGAGCAAATCACAGAAGTTTTACAAAAGCTGGAACTGTATGGTGGGAAGGTAAGTGGCACTGATGGGACTACGTCTGATATAAAACTGAGCGTTTGTGCACATTGCCTAATAATAATTGCTTAAGCCTATCTCGTGCACTCAAAATGTGTTGCACTCTGCCGTGACATACACAGGCATTCTGCTTTGTGTTATGTAACTACGATGTGGCCAGTCAGCATTGCACTTAATTGCCTTTAATTTTCCTGACCTGATAAATTGTTTATTTTATGCACTGAAAAGCAGCCTGAGTATGGTGTGGGAGATTAGCAGAATATTTAATTGCACTCAGATCTCCTATGAAATGGTCATTTTATGGGGGTGTGTGAACATCTTTCCTTTTCTTCTCATCCCCTTCATTGTTTCCCTAGTGCATACAAACATGATAGAAGTTTGGGATTACATCCATAGCCATGGGATTAATTTTATAATTGGCACATAGAAGAAAATCAATAAAATGAGCAAATCCCTTTAGGGAACTGCTGGAAAATTCTGACAATTTTGAGGTCAACTTGGCACAAGTGCCAGCACAAGATCACAGATGAAGGTTCTGCACCATTGTGCAATTCAGATTCAGGCCAGCATCATGGTGCTCATTTGTTCCGGGGCCTAGCTTTACCCAAAACACAGGAAAAGTTGAATTTGAACCGTTGGAACAATTTATGGAGCAAGATAAAAAAATACCTTTGTGAACATTCAAAGGGGTTTTTGCCCTTAAAGAAAAGAAAACCAGTTCTGGTGCTTCTCAGCCTTATCATGCATTTTGCTCTTCTCCAAGCTCTCTGGTCCCTTAAAGTTTTTCTTCTTCTCCCTATCAGATGATGATGATGGAGATCAAGGCTACAAAGACAGGAAAGTGTTAGAACAGTTAATTTTGTTGTTTAGTTTAATCGTATCCAACTGTTCGTGACCCCATGGACCAGAGCACGCCAGGTCCTCCTGTTTTCCACTGCCTCCCTGAGTTGGGTTAAATTCATGTTGGTAGCTTCGGTGACACTGTCCAACCATCTCATCCTCTGTCGTCCCCTTCTCCTCTTGCCTTCACACTTTCTCAACATCAGGGTCTTTTTCAGGGAGTCTTCTCATGACATGGCCAAAGTATTGGAGCCTCAGCTTCAGGATCTGTCCTTCCAGTGAGGACTCAGGGTTGATTTCCTTTAGAATGGATAGGTTTGTTCTCCTTGCAGTCCACGGGACTATCAAGAGCCTCCTCCAGCACCACAATTCAAAAGCATCAATTCTTCGGTGGTCAGCTTTCTTTATGGTCCAGCTCTCACTTCCATACATCACTACGGGAACAGTTAATTATTTACTCTTTAATAGCTGTAGTTTGACAGCATTTTTTTAGCTTTATTGAGCACAGAAAACCCTTAGCACAATGTGTGAAATGAAAATATGTTTTTGTGATTGGAATTAGATCACATTTGGAGAATGCTGTGTAATTTTGATAACAAGGTCTGTGATATCTTGCCACATGAAGCAGAGAGGAGAGGTAGATCTAAGAACTCGGCTTCTGGGCACTGGATATATTCTAAAGGCTCAGTCTTGACCAGGGAGGGGACCTAAAAAGGGCCCTTCTGTGTCACATTGATAGGCACCTTAGCATACTTTTATTTACCCCACTTGTTACCTGCTCCCAGTTGGAGAAGGAGCCATTAATCATCACTCTCTGAATACAACTGCATAGCCAATTGCGTTTCCACCTGACACGTGATCTATCCAGCCCAAACCTAGTTAGCTTGCTAATCAGGATATCATGGGGCACTTTGTCAAAATCTTTGCTGAAATCAAGATATACAATGTCTACAGCATTCCCTCTGTCTATCAGGGAGGTTACCTGATCAAAAAATAAGATCAGATTAGTCTGTCAGGATTTGTTCTGCACAAATCCGTGTTGATTTCCAGTTATTTCTGCATTGTTTTTAGGTGTTTGCATAGTGATCCTTTTATAATTCGTTTCAGACAGTGGAAGTTTTCAAGGTGGTAAGGTATTCCTTGACTATTTGTTTATCAGTTTCCAGCTGTGATCCTGTCCCCTCCACTTGCACTTCACATCTGTCTGAAGGTGCATAGCATGTCCTATGGGAAAAGACAGAGCCAAGATAGGAATTGAGCACCTCTGCCCTTTCTTTCTCATGAGTTATCATTTTTTCATCTCCATTGAGTAGGTAAGACACTGTTTCTTTTCTTTGTCTTCTTCTGCACACATACCTGAAGAACGTTTTTTGTTGCTTTTAGTGTCTCTATCTAACCTCAGCTCAGTCTCAGCTTTTGCCCTCCTAGTACCATCCATGCAATTCCTTGCTACTTCCTTTGTGGCCTGGCCTTCTTATTTCCTAGACATGTTTTTTTGTTTTCAGGTGTTCTATGAGCTTTTTGTGAAGCCACACTGGCCTTTTCTGGTCTCTCCTGCCTTTTTTTCTTGTTGGAATTGTTTATAGCTGTGCCTTTAGAATTTACTCTTTTAGCAACTCCCATCCTCCTTGGATTCCTTTTCTTATTAGGATCTCCTGCCATGGAACCTAACTTGTTCTAAGTTTATTAAAATTGACTTTTTAGAAATGCAGGATACAGTATGTGTGTGGCTACACTCTGTTTTGGTTTCCTTTGAAATCTAGTTGAATATGGTCAGTCTCCCTTTCTGCCACTTCCTCCACCAAATCTTGTCTACTGGTTAGAATCAAGTCAAGTGGCTCTGGGCTGAGCGCCCGCCACCTCCTCCTCGGAGGAAGAGGAGGAGGTGGAGCGGGAGAAGGGGAGCCAGGCACCCATCCCTTTTCCTTCGCCCACGGATCCTGGCGGCGGGGGCAGGGTGGGAGGGATCTGGATGCCTTTCAGGCATCTGAAGGGGAATCCCGGTGGTGGCCTCAGAAGGACCCTTCGGAAGGGTCCTTCCGAGGCTACTGCCTGCATTTCCCCCCCAGCTGAGCGGCGGAAGTGGTCATTCTGAGGCTCCCGCCGCTCAGCTGGGGGAAAATGGTGCCTATGGCGAAAAATCGCTATGCGATTTTTTCGTTAAACGGGGCACTCGTTAAGCGAGGCACCACTGTATCCAGATAACTGAAATCTCCCATCAATACTACACTGTGTCCTTTTAAAATCCTTCCAATCTGTTTTTCAGAAGTTTCACTTGCATCTTCTACTTGATTGGGTGGTCAACAGTAGACTCCATCTACCATGTTCCTTTTGTTTTTTGTCCCAATTGCATTGATTCAGATGCTCTCAGTGGGACAGCCAGTCTCTTTCTCCTGTGTATTTTTGACATATACTTCAACTCCACTTTCTTTTCTATTGTTTCTGTTCTTTTTGAACAATTTATAACCTTCAATTGCTGTATTCCAGTCCTGGGAGTTGTCCCACCAAGTATCAGTTATTTCTATCAAGTCATATTTTTTCATCCTAAACTAAGATATTTGGTTCTTCTTGTTTGTTTCCTGTATTCCTGGCATTTGTATATAGATACTGGAGATTGTGTGATTTGGAACCAGCTTTTCTTTGTACATTTTTATTTATTATTATTAATGTTGTTTACCCCCATTGGAACTGTTTGAAGCATAGGATTCATCTATCTATACTTCTGTGCTTGTACTTCCCTCCCCCTTCAATTTAAAGCCCTCCTGATGACATTTTTCATGCTGTGACCTACACATTCTTCCAAGTCTTTGTAATGTGCAAGCCATCTCTTGCTAGTAGTCCATCTTCCAGGAAGCTTGGCTCGTGGTCCCAAAAAATGAATCTTTCTCGTAAACACCACCTTTGTAGTGAGTTGTTCACCTGGAGTATTTTTCTTTCTCTTTCTGTTCCTCTTCTTCAGTTCTGGTAGGATGGATGAGAAAACTGTCTGAGTCCCAAAGTCCTTATGTTTCCTTTGCAAAGCTTAGAAGTCTGATGTGAACTCTTCTGCTCTTGTCTCTGTTGTTTCCATATGTTTTTCTTGCTTTTCCTTTCTTTTTTACTTGCTTTTCCTTTTTTAAAAAAAATTTGTACCATATACTCCAGCTGTTAAGAAGGAAACAAAGCTCCATTTCAAAGACTTGCACACATAGTTTCTTCAGCTTGCAATATGTGTGCAACACATAACAGGCTCAGGAATCCTGTCCATAGTTTCATGTCTATGGAAGCCCGCTGCACATTATAATTAGCAATTTATATTGTAGTTTTGAAATGACAGAATCTGCATCAATGAATCAAGGTTTAACTTACTAGGATACGGAGTGCATCATATTAATTACACTTACAGTGGTGTCTCGCTTAACGATGTTAATTGGTTCCCAAAAAAACATCGCTATGGGAAAACATCGCTAAGCAAAACACCATTTCCCATTGGAATGCATTGAAAACCGGATAATCCGTTCCAATGGGAACAGATTACCATCCTTAAGCAAAAATTGCCATAGGAAACATCGCTAAGCGAAACAATGTTTCCCCCATTGGAATGCATTGAAGCCTATTCAATGCATTTCAATGGTTTTGACAGGTCTGTTTTCACTATTTTTAAAGTGTCTTAAAATGTTCAAAAACTGTTTTAAATGCTTGGGATCATTAGTGCACCTTGTAAAACCTTTGCAAACTTAATTTGGCTTTGTTCTGACTCTTCGTTAGTTTTTGGTGAATTTTCCCCCCCATTGGAATGCATTGAACTGTAGGTTTGATGCAAAATCGCTCCAAAAACCTCATCGCTAAGCGAATACATCATTAAACGAGGCAATCGCTAAGCGAGGCACCACTGTATTTGAAACCACTTAACTTTAGATGTAGTCTTACTACTATGGTAGACATGGTGGTTGCCTTACATATGCCATACATTGATGATTGCCCATAAATTCTGTTGACCAGAGCCTTTTTGGTGATGTACAAGTGCCTAAGTTAAATTGTGTAACTTATCACAGCAAATTGGCATTATCTCATGAGTCATGTTATAATGCATATGCCTGATTACGGAATAGGTGCATGCCTATTAATGCTTTTGGCACCTCATTAAGTGTAGACAATTTACCACAGTGGGTTATGTAGTTTAGTTCATACATGTGCACATTACTGGAAGAATTCTGGCCAATATTCCTTGCAAATTGATGACTCCCTGTAAATGCTAATAATAAATATTAGCAATAGTATCCTTCCTTTAGTGGAATAGGCAGATTGCACTCATTGGTTATTCCCCCATTCATTTCTTTGCTCATTCCCAGAAGTATATTGGAGGGCTGTGGAAGGGAGAAGATTAAATAAATAAAATACCTGTTGTACAAGAAGTATGTTCCAGTAATGTGGACATTAGTGCACAGCCTAAAGTGTCATTGACAAAGCAGGAGTGGGGAAAGGAGTGTCTGTCTGTCTATAAAGCAGAAATTGTTTAACATTAGGGAGATATAGAGTGCATCATACAAGTAAAGACATATGGTTCTCAACTGAGAAAACTGATAGGTTGAAATCTAAGCTGTCAGTTTCTCTTTGTGTTCTATTTTTACCTGGTTATTGAATCTTTTTACTCCATTGTTTTTTTTTTAAAAAAAATACAACTTCTTTTAGTTTAGAGACCCCCCTCTTATTATTTTATAGATAGCAGACTTTGGATATTATGTCCACATGTATCTTATGTCAGTGCTATGACACATGGTTTATGTAGTATCATCTTGTAACAAAGCTGTGTTTACTAAAAACATGTTCATTTTTTAAAAAAAAACCAATATGAAGTCTGCTCTTATTGAGGCAGACTTAAAGTAGCAGAGTTAAAAGGAACATTACAGTCCCTGTCCACAAGTTAAATGGTAGTCCCAAGCTTCGTACATGAGTTTGGAGTGGTATCATTTGGTCAGCAGCACACACACAGATAGGGTAGGTATGTTGAGTCCCACGGTGGTGTTACTAATCTTTTCTCCCCTACTTTCATTCCTTCCTCCCTCCCTCCTTGCCTTTTTTTGGCAAATGGGCATGCTCCAGATTGTATGTTTATCATTATATATATGTTTGTTTTATATCAGAACTTTTGCTGCATCAGCATACTTACTACATTTAACTCTTACTTTATCAACAGGAAAGCTTGGCTATTATAAAATCTAAAATTCCAACATATTGTTCAATTTCCTGCTAAAGAAAGATGTGATGAAGAACCCCCTTGGAACTGTTTGGTGTTACTTCTTTTTCCATAGGATATTTTTCTATATTTCTCAGGGAGATAAGAGCTGGTCACGCTTTAAAAAGAAGAGTACTAAAGGTAAAAGTATTCAAGACAACGTAATTATGGGAAACACTACACCTGGGATGACCTTTGTTACATTCCTTCTACCAGGAACTCTAAAAGAAATTGTGTTACATTTTCTACTGTCTTATCCATGTTTGGATGTTCTTTAATTGAGGAGTGGAATATATTTAACATATCTGATGTTAGAAGCTGAGAGAACAATCCAGACAGTTTTAAACATTATTATTTCTGCTTCATGGGGAGAGTTGAGCATGTCACAATAGCTCTTTCATTAAAGTTATGAAAAGCTGAAAAAACTTAGTTTTTCTGGATTGTGCCGTGATTAACTTTTTTAAAAAAGCAGGAACTAACTGCTTAGTCACTGGAGATTTATTTTTATTTTTATATGCTCTTAGGCTAAGAAAGGATAAGAAAGGTGTGAAGTGTGTTTTCTTGTAAGAGGGTACAAAATGTCAACACTATGATTATTCTAGTACAAAATAGATATTTAAAGTATTAAAAGATAATTAAAATGTTCAACATATTCTATTAGTATTAAATATTTATTTTCTAAAAATTGTGAATATTGGTTTATTTAAAAAAGCAACAGCAGATAGTCTCTTTTTTCATTTTATTATAAAATGTGCACATTTATTTTCACAAACATAAAACAGCAAATTTTAGGTGTACATGTATTGTACTACTCATTGTCCTACACTGGTGATAGCAGAGCAGCCTTGAACATGCTTCTCCGTTCCATTTCTACACCAGAATAGATGCTTGCTTTAGTTTAGCAAAAATAGTTTTCGGCATTCATTGTACATCTGTGAGCTCTTCAGATCCTTTGTGCAGAAATGTCACAATAAAGAGTGGAATATGTCTTGTACCAGTATTTGTAGGCTTCTGGACAGCTGGATGGTAATGTAATGCTTTGATTGTGTTGAGGAAACATAGCTCTTTGTTGAATACAGGCAGTCTTCTCTGTAAGTGAAGGTCAGGGAGAAGCTGAGTGAGTGGACTGGTTTATGCCTGTCACTGCTCTGCCATAGCACAGGTGTATTTTCCTTTGTCATTTCCATGACTTATGTTTGCTGCATATGCAATGTCACTGGCATACAGACAAGCTACATGTTACAATTTGCTCCTTTAATATTTTCCTTCATCCCTTCCTCTGTCCACCCACTGTCTTTAATAAACTCTGTCTTTTCTGCCCTTTGTGCACAATGTTAATGAATAAACCATTTTTGACAAGCAGCTTCTGTTCCTCAAGTCTAGTATCACAATTGCTTCTAAATGACTAAATATTCTAATGAATATTGGCTAGAATCTTTTGGTTTAGTTATGTTGGAACTAGAGACAGGGATATTCTCATTCGTAAATGAATAAGAATATCCCCGTCCCAGCTGTACCTAATGTGGGTCTGGCTTTCGGAACTGACCTGTCCACTCCACCAGCGTCTTGCTCTTCCCACCAATTGTGGAAGTAGCTTTGCTTTCTGTCTGCTTGGCTGGCCACTCAATAGCTATGCAGGGAGATTTGTCCTCCCATCCCCTGCCTGGAATGGCCATCTGAGCAGAGAGGCAGAGGAGCTACATTCACAATTGGTGGGAAAAGTGGGATGCTGGCAGTGCAGTGGCAAGGGCCAGACCTACATTTGATGCAGCTGGAATGGAGATAATCATATTCGTTTACGAATACGAATATCCCCATCTCTAGTTTGAACAAGTGCACGGGTATAAATTGCAGTGGTGAATTGCTGCTAGTCAATGAGTTGCCACTTTGTATCCCTTGTGCATCTGTTGTATGAATTGGTGCAAGCTGAGAGATACAAGTGGCAAACTGTTAACTAGTGGCAATTCAGTCTTACGATTTACACTCATTCCAATGTAATTAACCAATATGATTCTGGCCTGTTTTTCCCCCACTACCCTATGTAACTAAAGAATCCTTTGATACTGCTAATGTTAAATTGTTTGCCACTGGGCATGACAGTATATTGTTGTATACTCTGAACAGTGAAATACTGGAAGCTTACAGGAACCTTCTCTATTCTCCCTCCCTGGTACAATTTAGCTGCCCAAATGTATACTTAGAGAGCAATATTTAAATACACTCTCATTTTTCTTTTCTTCAAATGAAGAGCTAGTAATAGTCAACTGTTTACTATTCCCTTTTGGTGGACATTGCACATTCTTTGTTAAATTCTGTCTTTATTGTAACTAAACTGGAAGTCTTGAGGAGAGACAATTTTTTGCCACCGGCAACTAATAAAAGTTAATTCATTCAAACTTTTTACTATAAAAATAATATATCCTATAAAATAAGGAGATCAAGAATTAAAAATGCAGGTCACTGCACAAGAATATAGAGGGTAGTATCCTTCTCTACATCAACAGGATTTCTGTAGGATATAATGGAGCCTGATTCCTTCACCATGACATGTGTGTATTTGTATTTAATGATTACTTGACAAATGCATCTGTCCCTTCAATCAAGATGCACTGAGCAGACAGACTATATGCCTGGAAGTATCCCCTGTTCAGGTAATCTGGTTATGTCATCGTAAAAGGTGGTAAGAAGGAATAGTCATCTATGTTGTGTGACTATCCCAGCTTGTGCATGGGTTGACTGTGTGTCACAAATGCAATTTGCTATAATAGTTTTTAACTGAGAATTATGTAAAATTGTGTAAATACACTGTGCAGCATGAAACTAAACAGTTTTATGGTCTAGAAGTTCAGCTAATGAAAATGAGAAACATGTTGCCCTTTTCCATCTCTCTGGACCTCTATCAAGAATGAGATGGCAATAATGCAGATATCCTTTGGATTGTTCTCTGAATCAGGTGAGGTTTTAAGAACAGCTACAAAGCATTGTTAAACAAGACTGTTTCAACTATTTGAAAAATACAGTCTCAGAAAGGCTTTAATTAAACAAAGCTTATTTGCGTTATACACATCTCAGTGTAAAGCTGAGCAATCCTGATTTATGGTAAACGTGGCAACAGGGTTATGGATTTTTTGTTGCAGAATTGTTCATACTGTCCATGAACTGAAGACAGAAGGACATGAGATTAAATCACATTTTCAAAGAGGTGCATGGAACGCATTATGTTTTCATCCTGTGGGAAAAACACATCATCTCATTATCCAAGAACAAATTAAAAATATGAAAGTAAAAAAGCAGTTATTTTATATAGGCAATCTGTCAGGCTAAAAACCATAACATCAAAAAAATTGAACAGAATAGGTAATCCAGAACCATGCAGCTGAAATGTATTACTGCAAGTTGGTTGCCTATAGTTTCTATTCAGTTCTTTAAAAAACAAAACAAACCCCTGTTTTATGAATGTGTGAGATTGTGCTTCTTTGTGCATGATTCCAAATGCCAATATTACTGCTGCACAATATCGTGGCCATGTTCCCTGCAAGAAAAAGGACACCAAACTTTACATAGCAAAGGGCAGCCTGAATGTTGACAACATCAATGTCAGCCATCAAGATGGGGTACAGGATACCTTCTTGTGCTCATTACCAGTCACAAAGAGATGCCAAGGAGAGGAGAATCCCAGAAGCCCTCTCCTTTTTTTCATCAGTTAACAATTTCTCACCCAAACTTAAAGCAAATTCTTTATATATCTATTGCTTGGAAAATATGAATTATCATCAAGTGCTATGATACAACCTCTGCTTTCAGGGTGGGGGGAGCAATTAACAGGGCTTATATATTCAGATGATCAGTCACACTCATGAGTGAACTGACCCTTGAATTGATTGCAGATGGGTCTGGAGAGAGGCTTTGACAACACATTTCAGATTCAAAGGATAAATAGCAAAATACCCTGCTTACTGGAGGACTGTGACTACATTCCTTTTTAAAGAAATAAACCAATTTTCTACTCCTTATATAATAACTGTGATGTTCAATTGACCTGTCTACTTAGACACAATGTATTCTTGCTGAAGCTACTCTTGACAAGCCTGCACCTTGCAGGCTCCATGTTATAAGAAATAACTTTTTCTCTCATTTGAAATGTCTTTTTTGAGGACCAATATGCTGCTACTGGCCGGATTCTTTCCAAATAAGGAAAAGTGAGTGAGGCCAACAATTCTGATTCAGGCTAAGCAAGATTGGTCTTTTCAAGTTATGGGAGCCATGTTATATCTGTGGTAGTTTGAGGTTGCCTATTTCTGAATGAGGGTAGTGGTAAAACAGTTTTATTTTTTAAAAATCATAATCATAACTTGAAAACCCTTTGTCCAAACGTCCCTAAATTTGGCACAGAGGAAGAGCAGACACTCTGCCAAACTTGGTACTGAAACCCAGTTTAAAAGCTATACATTTTTGTTTTTGCTTTACAAACACACATCATTTTCAGAACTGGCTTGTAGAATGTTGTTTTGCCCTGCTGCACAAAGATCACTGCTGCATTCCTGTGCAGCAAAATATACAGTGGTGCCTCGCACTGCGACATTAATTCGTTCCGCAAAAATCGCTGCAGAAAGAAAATGTCGCAGTGCAAAATTTAAAAGCCCATAGAAATGCATTAAAACCTGATTAATGTGTTCCTATGGGCTTAAAACTCACAGTTCAGAGAAGATCCTCCATAGCGCGGCCATTTCTGGTGCCTCTTAAGCGAGGAATCCATCCCAGAAAACAGCAGGTGGTCATTTTGTTTACCCGGTGGCCATTTTGAAACCGCCGATCAGCTGTTTTAAAATCGTCACTTTGCAATGCTCGGTTCCCGAAGCTGGGAACCGATCATCGCAAAGGGAAATTCCCCCATAGGGAACATCGCAAAGCAATCACTTTTGCGATTGCAAAAAATGTGTCGCAAAGCAATTTCGTCACTAAACAGAGCGATCACTATGCGAGGCACCACTGCATTTGCAACTCATAGTAAATTTATTTTTAGTTTTGACATTGTTTGGAATGACAAATCCTTTGCTATACGTAATTGCTTGCATGCAATTACCGTATCCTGAGAAGCTAAAACAGTGGGTTTAGGAAACTTCTAATTAGTGTAAATTAAATGTTTCCAGCACCTAATCCAGCTTATACCAAGTACAAAGTTATGCAACAGAATTTTTCCCAGTAACTGTTTTCCAAAGTACTTTGAAATTTGTGAATTGCTGTGTGTATATGGTGTTAACACCAGTCACTCACTTTTTGGCAGCTTTCAATGAATTCATCTATGGTAACCACACCATCTTTATTTTTGTCCATTTTCTGCAAATAAGAATTTTTTTCATTAAATGATGTCAACTACATGTTAATATTACCATTTTATTTAATCTTTTAAGCAAAATATATATGGGAACCTTATAACAGCTTTAAAAAGTGGCCTTTTAGAATGATAACACTGTTGCCAAACTCCTTTGGGTTCATTACTTCTAAGCTTTTTAACAATTTACATTTTATTACCAAATCAAAGGTTTAGATTTTGTTTATTTGTCAGTGAAAACATCCAGCTACATACAAGCCCACCAGTGAACGGAACTGCTGCTTAGTTGAGTGCACATGATAGGCCCACCAGTGAACGGAACTGCTGCTTAGTCAGTTGAGTGCACATGATATAACGTGAACACAAACTTCCTAACCATCATAATGGAAAGCAATCTGATGGACATTGACCTACCTGGAAAAATGTTTCCACATGTTGCCTTGGGGCATCCTCTTTGAGAACAGGATATGTGCATTTCCCCATCATATCATATATAGCTTTCATAATATCCAGCATTTCCTAATGGAGAAAAAACATGTTAATGTGAGCAGAAAAAATATGCAACTAATGAAAACTGCATTTATAAGATGGGAATCTTGTGAAGTCAGAGCTGGAAGTGTTTCATGTTGTATAAACCAGGGAAAGGGAGGGGTGAGTGCTATGACCCCCCCTCCCAGTCCCACCTAGCATGTGATGATCAGTTGCAGTAGGGGTTTTCCTCAAAGGTGATGCCTTCCCCATCCTTGTTACAGAGGCTTATTTTGATATAATTAAGTTATAATTACGACAACATGTAAGCCTCCAGATGGTGGACTGCAGCTTCCATCATCTACCACTGTGGGCTATGCTGATTAAGGCCGGTTAGGGTTGTAGTCCAGTAACATCTGGCCTCAAGTTGCCCACACCTGGATTATGCAGCCATCTAGCAAGTCAAGCTTCTTCAATTAGCCACATGCATTTTCCCTACTACCTGGGTGCCTAATGAATTAGAACAGATTTTCATGTAGAAACCTACTAGTGTCACATAGTACATCAAATATTTTTAGGTCTACAAAAACACCTTTCTTATTTTATAAAACATTTCCCTTATTGTCACCTGGATATCTTTCAAAACCATTGAGAGACAAGGTGAACAGACAAAATTTAGTAAGAGGGGGGAGAGAGAGAGCAAGGAGAAACAACCATGCTTCTATGTAAAAAATCTGAATAGCAAACCTCACCCATTATTGGGGTGTTCAATTAATTATGCTTAAAATGATTAGCACTTCTAAGGTCCTTTAAAGGCCTTTTTCATGGGACGGAAAACACAGTAAGACATGTTCAATTACATGAAGATAAGAAAAGTGATTAAAATTCTGTTTCTGCAAATCAAGGTCATTTGAATGGTAAGTGTCATTTTCTCTGCCTATCATCCTGTATTTCCTGGAGGGTTTCCTGGGAGAAGGGCTATGTTGCTCAAATAAACAGTACAAGAAAGAGGAAAGTGCGTTTTCTTTTCAAATTGGGAGGCTGGAAGATCCATGTTCCTAAATCATAACACAGGACTATTGCAACTACAGTTTTACCATTTGAATATGTTGTTGGAAGAAGCCGAGTCTGTGTCTTTGCCCTTGTATTTGAAAGACAGAAAGGCTGGGAAAGCACAAGTGTGAGTTGTGAGAAGCAACATATAAAGGTAGATGCATGGAGTCATCGTATTGCAGCTATGGCAATGAAACAGAATGACATTGGAGAAGTATGCCACAGCATCCTTTTCTATTATGTCCAGTGGACCAAATACAAAGGATCCTGACATGTATTTTTGTTTGTCTAAGGCTTGTCCTAGGCAGCTGCATATGACAGACTAACCAGCTCTGGTTTTGATCTACTTAGTTTTTACTAAAATAAATCGAGGGTAAGTTTCAAGTATGCATTTAATGGCAAGTGCTTTAAAGATACAGAAAAGGAAACAACATCTTACCTCTTTAGTTACATAGCCATCCTTATTTATGTCATACAAATTAAAAGCCCAGTTAAGTTTTTCCTGCACTGTTCCTCTGAGCAAAATAGAAAGGCCCATAACAAAATCCTGAAAGAAAAAAAAAGTATGATTTAATTTTCTGAAAACTGCATGAGAATACCATGTAAGAATGTAATGAACTATAAGTCTTCCATGTTAAACCCTAGCCTTTAAAACACAATGGCAGCTTTTCTTTCTCCCCTTGCAAGGAAGAACTAAAATACAAAGGGAGATGATCCACACACAAGCATTCATACCTAAACACACACTTAAATTTGTTGACATCAATATGGTTTCAGTAGGATCTGTAAGTAGTTGCTACTAGCGTGATCATGTTTTATTGAAACAAACTAAATTATATTTACTTAAATAACTGGAAGTTATAAAGGGGTCAACTTTGGTTGGACCATGCCCAAACTATCAACACATACAACTCAGCTCCATGGGCCACTGACACCAGTAGGATTATTCCAGCACTAATGGATCAAGGATGATAGCAATTCCAATCTTATACAAAAAAAGCTAAAGCAGCCAAGCGGTGAATTCCACCCTCTCAGCCAGACAATTCATGAATAATTATTTTTATTACACATTGTTGAAAAAGACAAAACAAATAGTGGAAGCTGAAGGCCACAAGGGATTATTTTCCTTAAAACAGCAACCCAGGATACAAGAGGACATATATCTTATTTTGTATACAGAGGATGTCATTTTTTTTCTTCCGTTGTTGCCTTAGCTAATGATAATAAACTGAATAAATTTAGTAATACAATTTTTCATCCCAAGAGAGATAACAGTGACAGTGAGTTACAGACAATTTATACTTCATCTCTTACAACAAACAGAAGTCAAATACAGAGACCAGTTGAAAGAGGTCACCACCTCTTTCACAGAGTTTTAATATTTTCATAGGATGCCCTTTTTATCCTACCATCCTACTAGGCACTTTTGGTGAACACACAAGAGACAGCTTCAGCACCATATTTAGGAATGTCTTTCTGGGAAGACTAGATTGGTCCCCTCATCTTTTCCTTCCATCAGAAGGCAAGTACCTTTTATTCAGGGGAGCTTTTTTGGTGGTAAGATAGGAGGCTTAGAGTGGTGGTTGCTCTACATGTTCATATTGCTTTCAATTACCTTTTAATACAATATTTTTAAAAATGTGTGTCAAGACAACTTTTTAGTTTCTATTTCAATAGGAAGTGGACGTGGTGGTGCTGAAGCCTCTGTGCTGCAAGGTCAAAATGGTAGTGGTGTTCAGTACCTGGCCATGTGATCACGGAAACTGTCTTCGGACAAACACTGGCTCTATGGCTTGGAAACGGGGATGAGCACCGCCCCCTAGAGTCGGACACGACGACTAAATGTCAAGGGAAACCTTTACCTATTTCAGTGGGAACTTACTTTTTAAAATACATTTTATTAGTTTTTCACTTATCAAACATTGTTACATGATTTGCTTACAATTATTTGTTTTTTTGCATCTGTGTCTTCCCAGTTGTCCCCCCAAATTCCAGACATCTTTCAAACATTCAAACCATTCATGTATGTATTTTAGTATATAATATTGGCTACTATCATAATATTACTTTTATAATGTACAATATTCTCAAGATTTTCTAATAGCATATTTAATAAAAGTAAATCCAGATCCATGCCCCAACCTTATATCTAGTTTAATTTACCTAAAAAGAAAACCCACCATATTACGTCTTTACCCTGATTAGTGCTCCCTTATTTCAATTTAATTCTCCTTTTTAATATAAAGGATATGCTCCTTTACAATTCCCGAAGTTAGATATATACATGCTTTCCAACATTAAGGGCCTTCTTCCTATTTTCCCTTTTTCATCTTTCTAAGTAATTCCCTCACATTTCTCTTTTTTCACTTTTTGTTTCTGTCTCTCTAAGTATTCTGCCATCTTTTGTGCCCTCTGAAACCATTTTGTGCATCTGATTTATCTCCAGTAGATCTTGATGCACTTGGTCTATCTTCAATAGATCTTCCGGTTTTTTAAAAAATTAATTCTACTGATTTTCTCCCCTTGTCTTCCCTTAATACTCTCCTCAGATACAAGATTAAAGTTGTTTCTCTTAGGTTTTCCCCATTAATTTCCTCCAGCTCCTCTTTTGATTGGCATACATCATCCGGTACACTCTCATTTCCTTTTTTGTTATTCCCTGTCTCTTGTTGACTATAATTCTTCTTCAACTGTTCCTTGAATAATTTTGCCTCTTGGTAGTGGGATGTCCTATTTCTAGGATTGTTTGAAGGGTAGATTTTGTTTCATCCCAAAATTGTCTTTGTTGTGCCATTATGTTCCAGCCGACCAAGAACTTAAGCCAAGATTCAAAACCCCCAAGTATCACAGTTCAGTTTGATGATTGTATCCATGGCCTGATTCATCCCTGGCAAATTGATGCCAGCCAAACAGATATTCCAAGTCTCCAGAGTCAATTCAAAGAGCCCACTTTAGCCAAATAGACGTAAACAAAAATTTAAACCCCCAAAATACCAAGGCACAATTCAATGGTTGTATCCGTGGCCTGATGGCCTAATTCCCACAGGTTTACGCCAGCTAGTCAAACACAAACACTTCCAGCTCCAGGGGCAGTTTCAGAGGATCTACTTTGGCCAAATAGGCCTGAACCGAGGTTCGAAACCCCCAGATTTCACAGTCCAATTCAGTGTTTGTACCCATGTCCTGGTAGTCTAGTTCCTGCAACTCTGCATCGGCCAAAACCGAAATTCCAAGTCCCTGGAAGTGGTTCCAAAAAGTTCATTTTGGTCCAATATACTGATTCCCAAAGTACAGTTAAGAAAAATCCACTTTAGGGTTAATTTGTCTATGTAGTGGGAACTTACTATGAATTTGGGGAGAAAGTTGAGATAGAAATGAAATCAAAAACAACAGGTTGTCAGTTTAATATTGTGGCGATCTACCTTGTTGCCTCTGTTTATTTTGGCCCTCACCAGAGATCATGCCCTTTCCTTTCATGCTGCCACCAGGTATTTTCCTAAAAAATCCACTTTAGGGTTAATTTGTCTATGTAGTGGGAACTTACTATGAATTTGGGGAGAAAGTTGAGATAGAAATGAAATCAAAAACAACAGGTTGTCAGTTTAATATTGTGGCGATCTACCTTGTTGCCTCTGTTTATTTTGGCCCTCACCAGAGATCATGCCCTTTCCTTTCATGCTGCCACCAGGTATTTTCCTAAAACCAATTATGTTATACTTGTGTGCTGCCAACACTAAGGGTTATTGAACATAGGACAGAGGTTGGATTAACAAAGATTCTTTTATTGATAAGTAAATCATAAAGGTAAATCAAGTAGGAACTGTATCAGGTCTTAACATGGATTTGATTATGGATGCACTCACTTTTATTTCAAACTACTATGTACTTTTACTCAATATCTCTCTTATGGTACTTGTAACTTCATTCCAATATCATTTATCTCAATTCCCTCTCCTAACACTCTCAGCTCAAATCCCTAACACTCTTCTTCTTACTGCTAAAACCCTAACTCTCATTCCACATCTCCAACTGTCTCTCTCGAACTTTCTGTCTGTTTCACTCTCTGCCTCCCTGGCTCCGCCCCTCCTGCCCTATCCTTAGCTCCTCCCCCTTGAGCTTCTGTGATGGACAGGCAGGAATGACGTCACCTTTTGGCATTCCGCTACAAATATATATTTCCTTCTGTGACCATTCCACATTGTTTTAAATATACACTTATATCCCTTTTTTGGTGGACCATGCTGTCATTTCCTATATTCAGATTTCTTTTCATTAATTGTAAAGGTTGAGAAAGAAAAGATTTATGGACAATTAAAGAGTTTCCAAAGGGCTCAGGACTAGAGATGGGGGTATTCGTATATGAATATGAATACCCCCATCTCTACTCAGGACACATTTAAGACCATTTCTTAGCATTATTATTATAATACAACAATGTATTAAAGTACTCCATTCAACAACAAAATCACTGTCTTCTGCTCTAGGTTGACACACTAATAAGGCTGTGTTTCAAAATACCCCCATTGGTAGATTCAATACATTCAACTAATACATTCAGTTTCCTCCATGAATCTGTCATTTTAGATCCACGATGCTTTCTGAAATCTCTTCTTATCTTCTACATGACACAAGTTAAATGTAGTGAAATATACTTCAAGTTTCAAGGGAAAAAATGACAAAAAACAATCCATTCCCTTAGATTTTGCTCCAGACATGAGGAAAAAAAAAAGAACAGAACCCAGCAAATTGACATCAGAAAGATTAAGGGGATATATTCGGAAGCTCTGATGCCAATATTTTTTCTCTGGTCTGTTTCCTCCACTCTGCAATCAGAAAGAAACAGGTATAGTGTGCCAACAGGACAGATGAAAACCTCCATCTTTGTGCTGGTCAGCAACAGTTCAAGGTTTCCCGAAGCTGTTTCAGCAGGGCTTCAGTTACAAACTCCCAGGAATAGAGCAGGGAATTTACCCAGGATCAAACAGGTCTTCTGGCATGAACCAAACAGTATACTCCACAGAAATTGATTCCAAATAAACAAAAGTGTATAAGCAAAAAAATAAACAAAAGGAAACTAGTCAGATGGCACACCAATAGTGCTTAAACTGTTTTTGCCAGGTTTAACTGATATTTAGTACAATATATCTGACATCTGAGGCAAAAAGTTGGATATATTCACAGAGCCCAGCAATACCAGAATAATATGTTTAGACAGAAACAAACATTGCAATCATGTCGGTGTGGCATTATATGTAGGAAAAAGAATTTTTAATAATCAACCATCAACATATTGCCAATAAATTATTTAGAATTCCCAATGTAGCTATTAACTATCCTGATTTATTTAAACAGTAGCTTTTATGGCATTTACACAGTCATTAACTCTCTACCAAAAGACCAACTATGGTCCAAATCATATTGCCAGTTTACACTTGCACAAGAGGAATTGTATGTGTTTTGGTGACAAATAGCCATTCATTAATGAGGAGCTGGATGCATTTTGTGATATGTATCGAGGACTATAACCAGCATGTTATAAATGAGCAA